CACGTGAGGATAAAAAGTGATCGGAAAATCGATGCTACCCCTAACGCCTATCTCTCTGGACGACCCGGGAAATTTAGGGGATGGGGTGGTAGGGGAGTAAATATCCAAAGAGTTGGAGGGATGGACCGACGCGAGGACACTCTTCCGTGTTATAGTTTTTTTTTTATATGTCTCTTTCCTACAGTGACAAGAATCGAAGAAGATTTTCTATCCACGATCCCCGTAAATGGGGATCCTACCCTGAGAAAGAAATTTATGCGAACAGAGCCAGAGAAATAGTTGGTTAATTCAAAGAGTTATTATTTCACCGAAATGAAGTCGAATAAACTGGATACGACGTTTCTTTCGAAATTATGATAATTTATTTGAGGTCGAGTCAAATAATTATTCGTTGAGAATTAACTAAGTATTTCTTTGGTACTGTTAACAGAAATATTTCTTTGGTTCAATGAATTTCTAGTTGTCGGTGTACTTTCTTTACATCGAACACCCGTTTTCTCCACAATTCTCTGCACGCTTAGGAAATGTATTCGGTCGTAACAAGGAATTTTACTTGCTTGAATAATCGTGTACGTTGCTGTGAATTTATTTGTTAATTTAAGAAGGAGTTTCTTCCAAAGGAACCTCTCCATTGGTTACATCTACGTTCGATGTAAATCTTTTTGTTAGCGGTGCGATTGTTCCCACAGAAAGAGGAAAAATGTATCAGCAATGTTGCGCTATGCTAGAAGTGCAAATTAATTGTTTCCCAGAGACGGATCATTTGCCGCTATTAGCTCGAAGGGTGTGTTGAGAAGTTTGCGACGAAACTCGCTTGTCTGTTATCTCCGTCCAGGCCCTAATAGCATAGAATAATTTCTAAATATTTCTTTGTAATCTTTGCTAAATATCTCAAGCGACAGATCTTTTAAGATGCCTCGTAGATTTCATTTGAAGATATATAAAATATTTCTTGAAAATCTCAATGACACATTTACTTTCAATAATTTATAAACACGNTAATATTACACAAATATTATAAAGTGAACGTTTTGCAAACATTTCAAATGTCTGGTAAATATTTACAAAATGTAGGATATTCGTTAAATATATAGAAAATATAGGACAGGTGTTTTGTGCTACTAGAGGGGGGGAATAAAAAAATCACCTTCTGGGCTGCTCCTCCAACCGGAAGCGAAGGTTCTACCCTTTGCATATCCAGGACGCGTAACCTGGTCCTGACAGGGAACGGGGCGCGCAACTTGGAGCTTCTTATTCGAAAAATGAAGGAAGGCCCACTCGTTCCCAAGCTGCGCTCGAGCCACGCTCCGAAAGTCTTTCGAACTTCTCCTTTTCTCGAGGTAAATCATTTATATTCGAGTATAAATGTCCCGGCGGCGGGATTTATCGCGGGCATTTCTCACTGGCCCGTTTTAATTACTCGCCCTCCTCGTCTCGAGCTCGTTTCCGTCGCGCCCTCTCGGCTCTCTTCCTCTTTCTCGTCGGTCCACTGCATATTTTCCTCCCTTCTTTGCCGCTTCGATGAAACAAGTGAAAATCAGGAGGCACGGTCGATTAAAAGGAAACGCAGTCCGGGCAGAGCTTCGGAAAAGGATTTCGATTTCCCTCGAAAACCCTCCACTGATCGACTATACGCGCTCGGGTCGCTTTAATTACGAAGCGCCACTATAGTGGCTTCCGCCTGATATTCTTTTACGAAGCGCCACTATACCCTAGTAGCGCAGAATATTTTCTAAATATTTTTTGCAATCTTTGCTACATATCTCTAGCGACAGATTTTTCAAGATGCCTCGTAGATTTCATTTGAAGATATGTAAAATATTTCTTGAAAATCTCAATGACGTATTTAGTTTCAATAATTTATATACACGGATCGAAATTATATTCTTTAATTTATAAACATATAATAAAAATACATTTTTTACTTTACGATTATTATCGGACCCTTTATTTGGTATAGGAAAAACACGAAAAATGTTTGCAATATATATATATAAAGAAAAGAGCACAATAACAAAACTGTAGAGGAAATCGACTGCACTACGGAATGGCAACGCTTGAAACGATTGGGAAATTAGTAAAAAATAAAATCACCATTGCACGAGGTCGACATATTTTCCCATAGATATAAAAGATCATTCCTTATCATTTTTCTTCTATATAGACCGTAAAAGACCTATCATGTTACCATAGTAATTATAATCAAATTATTTTCATCCGTACACGAAGAAAGAAACCGTTGCAGTGTATGTACTTTTCCGATGGAGTCAATGATCGACACTGGAAGTAACGTTTGATCATACGTCGACTTCCGTACCCGTGTTTGACGTATTACTAATAAAAATTACATGTGTATTGATGATGTATTACTAAAAAAAAACTCAGATTACAACCGCATCGTTCCGTTTCCAACCGCGTTTCCGCGAGCCTGCACTACGGAATAGCAACGCTCGAAACGATTGGGAAATTAGTAAAAAATAAAATCACCATTGCACGAAGTAGAAATATTTTCCCATAGATATAAAAGATCATTCGTTATTATTTCTTCTATACATGCCGTAAAAGACCTTTGATCAATTTCTCTTTGTGCGGCATTGCGAAGTCGTTCGCGTTTCACTATCCGTGATTTATTTCCCCGTCCATTTCTGCTTCGCCGAATGAAATGGAAGGGCAGAAGGAAAAATGATCCGAGGAACGTTCGGTATGGGATTAGCTCCGCTCTGCTCCCGATTCTTCCTTCGAGCTAACAATGCTACGTTCGTTTAAACCAGATGCAGTTATGCCGCGAGTACGCGGATCTACCCGAATGATCCATGAGACATTTTACGGGATCTCCTCAAAGGGTCGGCAATGCGGTGGATGGGAATGGAATAGACGGACGAACAAAGGAACCTCTTCCTCCCATCTCATGGAAAAGATTGAAGAACGAAGTCAGTAATCGGATTTCCGAAGATGCGTCCCCGCGGAATCGCGTCCGGTTTCCGATAGTGGAGGTACAACGACCAGGATAAGACATTACGGGAAAAGAACGTGCGAACGGGTTGAGGGTTTCGATATTTTAGATGCTGGAGAATTATTTTCGATCCCTCTTGAACTTTCCGTTACTTAGGTTTTATATTTCCTTTACATTTAAGGCTTTTATTTTTGCATTACGTTATTTTCTTTTACCTTTTTTTATTACCTTTGAATTTAATAATTAATCCTTTATATTAGCCTATGATCGTTTCGGGAGTTTCAGGACCTACTTTAGGGCCTCTATATTCCCGTGGTAAAATTTGAAACGAATTGGGTACCCCTCAATTTGAAGAATATTTTCCCCAACGATTTGACTTCTCAGATATATATAGTTGTTAACTGTATCATATCACCTTAAAAGTAAAGGAAATATAAAATCTAGATATCGGATCATATATATCTGAGAAGTTAAATCGTTAGGGAAAGTATTCTTCAAATTGAAGGGTACCCGATTCGTTTCAAATTTTACCACAGGAATATGGAGGCCCTAAAATAGGTCCTGACACTCACAAAGTTTCATTTTTAATACAAAATTTATTTATTTAGTATGGACTAGAATCAACGTGACCGTGGTCCGTGCACGCTTTCGATGTTTTATGCTTCTTGGAGGCTTAGAATCGAAAATAAAGATTTTTAGGATCTAGCTCGAAGAATTTAGAATACCGTAGAAATAAAATATTACAGAGTCAGGTGGGAAAATATGGAAAATACGCTCACTAACGATTGCAAGAGAATACTGGCTCGTCGCGAGGCTAGCACGTGGTTTTAGAGGAAAAATTTAGTTGCAGCTAAACGTCACAGATGGCGACGTTGGTACTAAACAGTCGTTAGAATAATGAATTCTGGGATTTCGACAGTTTTACGTCGATCTCTTCGTCATTACTTTATCGAAATGACACATGAAACGCTTCATTTCGTATAATTCTCAACGTGGACTGTAAAAGACTTAAACATAAATATAAATGTCGGTAAGGGGACGCGTCAGCTAATGTTACCACTTGAGTATTCAAAACGACGTTCCCACCAAAAAGGGTATAGATGAATTTTAATTTATATACGTCGATTAAATTTCTCAGCGCCTTTCATATCGTCTTAAAGTTTCCCTGTGGTGTTATGTACGGTTACTTACTTAGCGAAAGAAGCGAATTACGAGTCGGCGGAAATGAGTCTAATATGGGAAGAGGGTCCTTGTGGAGATATTAAGAAAGAAGAAGCACAAAGACGCATAATGCGCGAAGAAAGTGTCTTTCTGCAGACGAACGAATTCTATTAAGAATGGAAGACAAGAATGGGAGGTAATGAGATTGCTTACAACTTGTTCCCGATTCCCTGGAGCGTACTTTCAAGGCTTTATGACCGCTTCTTAATGAGCAAGCTCTGGACCAATGGAAAGGAACTTACTGGGATGAAATGTCGAGAATGAAAGAGGAAACGGTAAAAGGTTTGGAAATTACAGGGCGTGCGAGTCCGAGGGTAATGGCATTGTTTATCAAAAGTTTGTTACAGCTTTTACCCACGCGATGGCATATTGTAAATACTCCCGTATAATTCCCTTTTATACCTCGAACTAATTGTTATATTTTATTTATGACGTTTTTCTTTATCCCCGTTGACTTTAATGGCTTTAATGACTTTTGACGTCTGCTCGTCTTGAAAAAAGTTGATCTTCTTGTACCTAGGATCTTCTTTTTTAACATACATGGCGTCAGGATAAAAAAAATCCCTTTTATACCTCGAACTAATTGTTATATTTTATTTATGACGTTTTTCTTTATCCCCCGTTGACTTTAATGGGTTTAATGATTTTTATGTCTGCTCGTCTTGAAAAAAGTTGATCTTCTTGTACCTAGGATCTTCTTTTTTAACATACATGGCGTCAGGATAAAAAAATCAGATGTTACACGTTTTGGATATATAATGCAAACATTTTCTGCATATAGAGTCTGCCTCATTGAATATACATCTTAAGTTAATTGCAAATATTCTTGCGCGATTCTTTATTACAAGGTATTTACAATGGTTTGATTCGTTAACGAGAGCCTTCGTTAATGGTAACTTTTCACTGGTAAAACTATTTATGAGTACGGGACACTAATACATCTGACATTGAATACATTTTTAAGGAAGATTGTGGATTTCTCGGTCGTCAGAATAATTCGGTACCGCGAAAACTAGTATATAGTATTTTTATATATGAATACTAGCTTGAATAATGAAATGTACTGACAGTCTTGTGTGGAGTTCCAGTTACATAAATTTCATTCATATAATTACGCAACATTTTCTTCAGTTAGACAGATGTATGTCAATTTTATAATACTCCGATTTATGTATTCTGGCATTGAATACATAACGACAAGGGCAGTTACTATTATTAAAGGTACTGTTATTATTAACGGCAGTGACAATAGGTTTACGTTACCCCACGAACGTCTTCGTGGTATGACTATTGCATTATAACAATCATATAAACGCATTTAAAGCCTTTATCGTCATTTTTCGTATATGAACATCGTTTACTGACGATAGCTAAAACGGCTTCATACGAACGCGATTAAACAGTACATATAAATTTTATTAAATATTAAGACTGCACGTGATCACCGTTGTCCACCTACTTGTATACTGACACTTCCTCTTGGTAATACGGTAAGATACTATAAAGTACTTTTAACCCGACAACATTAACAAAAAAGGAGAAATTGGTTTAACACTAAACATCCAACGCCATATAGGTACTTTGAGCGCTGAGGACAAGAATGTAAAAAAAGTAAAGGTAACGTAACGAGACACGGGCTCGAAATTAATTTGTACAGCAAAAGTAAAAGGAATCATTTTGATTTAATCTCTTGCACGGAATTGAAGGTTCGATGTATACCAGTCTCGCAGTTATCATCGGTACAATCTGTGCCAATGTGATGGCGACCCCAAAGGCTGCAGGAGCCATCGCCCTTCTTTAGGCACATCTTGTGAATAACGTCTTTGGAGGGGGTCTTGAGGTCGTAGGCCAACCCTAACCAGGCCATGAAGTCGATAAATGCCGTACTGGGATTCAGTCCGTAGTTTCCTAACTCGGCTGCTTTGTAGTCCCATGGGAAAGAGTGGTGATAGTTGTGCCATCCTTCTCCCAGGGCAACGAACGCCACCGAGGGGCTCTCCACGGGATTCATTCTACTGTAAGGGGAATTTCATATCTTCAATTACAGTTTCCGTCGTGAAACAGGAGTAGATCATGTTTTCACACAATAAAAAATTCAGCGGGTAGGAAATAACCAAGTTATTCCTAGGAACATCCATCGCTTATACAGAAACGAACGCCATCGAAGGGTTCTCCACGGGATTTATTCTACTGTAAGGGGAATTCCATATCTTCAATTAAAGTTTCTGACGCGAAACAGGAGTAGATCATGTTTTCACACAATAACAAATTCAGCGGCTAGGAAATAATCAAGTTATTCTTAGGAATATCCATCGCTTATACAGAAACGAACGCCACCGAGGAGTTCTCCACGGGATTCATTCTATTGCAAGGGGAATTCCATATCTGCAATTAAAGTTTTTGACGCGAAACAGGAGTAGATCATGTTTTCACATAACCAAAATTTCACCGGCTAGGAAGCAATCAAGTGATTCCTAGGAACATCCATCCTTTATACAGAAACGAACGCCACCGAGGGGCTCTCCACGAGATTCATTTTACTGTAAGGGGAATTCCATATCTTTAATTAAAGTTTCTGACACGAAACAGGAGTAGTTCATGTTTTCACATAACAAAAAATTCACCGGCTAGGAAATAATCAAGTTATTCCTAGGAATATCCATCGCTTATACAGAAAATAACACCGTACATTGCGAATGCAATTGAAACATGCACGTCATGGAAAACAGATTTAAACGACTTTTAACTGGCTTTAATAAAGGATTAGAAAGACTTCATGTAATATGGATTATATTATTAACATTACTCATTCTGAGCAATACGGAGAAGGTATGCTTACCTGTCATATGGACGATTTCCCCACAGGTGAGCGGCGCTATTTACGAGGAAAGTCAAGTGCAACGATATCGTATAACGTATAAGCATAGCGTGGAAACTGATGTACCATGTTTCGTTCCAATAATACACTGGTATCAGGGTAGGCAGGAGGAAGCTCAGGAAAAATGATAAGGGGTAGTAGACCCTGGAAGAAGAAAATATACAAATTAGAATGTTACTGCTAGAGATAGTTATTAATCGATGTAACAATATAATAGAACAGACTATCGCGTCGTAAGGTATCATTACCACTTCCTGGATAATTATTGCACTTATAGTTGATATAAGATGAGGGAATAAATTATTTCGTTACTTATGTAAGGTGAGAAATGTCTGTCCGTTTCTAATGATCAATTGAAGTACTTTGTGGTAAGCCGCAAGCGCAAGGCGAGAGGGGAATGAAAAATGTAATCGAAACGGATGTATGAATCTCATAACGTACTTGTCGGTGTAGCGTATCACCGGGTCAGCGAGTACGTCGCTCATGTCGACTTTACTGCCATATCGTTTCACGGCTGGATGTCGTTTTACCATCAGCCAGCCAATATGCGAGAAGAAGAACCCACGAGACGCGTCGTGTGGATCTGCCGGTGTCTCCGTGTACCTATGATGGGTTCTGTGGTCCCGGATCCACTTGTAGAACCGATCCTGGAACACATTAGTGGTTTGGTGTCGTCTCCTTAAGGCATCGTTTTATCAGAAACTTTATGGTGATGTGAAAGTGGTCTCTAAGAGATCTCATTTATTGAACTTTTCTCCTAACTGCGTGTGTCGAATTATTTCAAACTTAGGAATGTCAATATGGAGGCTGTAAAGAAGGTCTTGACACCCATGAAATTTCAAATTTACCAAATTACGTTTATAGAAATTCTCAACATTTTTTGTAAACAAATGGAACTTGTGAAAGTGGTCTCAAAGAGGTCTCATTTATCAAACTTTCCTCCTAACTGGGTGTGTCGAATTATTTCAAACTTTGGAATGTTAATATGGAGGCTGTAAAGAAGGTCTTGACACCCATGAAATTTCAAATTTACCAAATTACGTTTATAGAAATTCTCAACATTTTTTGTAAACAAATGGAACTTGTGAAAATCGTCTCTAAGAGGTCTCATTTATCAAACTTTCCTCCTAACTGGGTGTGTCGAATCATTTCAAACGTGAGAATGTTAATATGGAGGCTGTAAAGAAGGTTTTGACAGCCATGAAATATCAAATTTACCAAATTCGTACGAAATTCATGGTGGTTTCCGGTGACCACTATGGCCCAAATGAAAAGACAAGCGTAGGTCCCATGGGACCACCGTGCCAGCGAAAAGGTTAAGCTTCTCGCGGGTCTTTTCTTAATGGACTATTTCCTATACTAGGAAACGATTACGGGTTTTTCCTATTGGAAGAATGTTGAGATGATTAAAGCGAAGGAAGCCCCAGACTCTCGAGAGATTCCAAGGCATCGCGGCATCCGAGTGTCCGTGTGTATGTGCGCTCTAATAAACCGTACAAGTGCACGTGGAGCTGCAGAGGGAGGAAAAGGCCATGCCAGAAAGGGGTGGAATTGTACAATGGCCGCAGTAAACTTCCATGGAACGTGTAAACTCACACTCGCGCCCCGGAGGAGGTCCGGTACAGTTTCCGAGGGCGTTTTTCGAGTAAATAGACCGGGCCTCCTAAGACCTACACGGCTTGCGAGAATTAACCGCGACGTGCCCCATGAGGTGAAGTGAAACCCCCTTCAAATCAGTCGATTCGATACAACACTTTATTTTTTAAGGGTATTGGACCAAACCGTCCGAAACTTTGACACATGACTGATGATCATCTAAGAATCATCTAAGAATTGTCCTGACACATTCAAAATTTGGATTTTTTAACAAAATTTTTTAACAGCCCAGACCAGAACCAAAATGGCGTCGAGCTCTCATATTTCGATCGATATACAATTATCGAATACTCCGATATGAGAAACGAAAGGGTCAGGACAATTTTACGACAATTTAGAACACTCTGGTAATCTATAAACTCGCATTTGAACGGGATAAAGGCAAAAAAAGTGTTTTATGTGCTTCTATGCTAAAACGATGGAAATACGAGCACGTCGACAGGTGCTGCACAACGTAAAACGATCTTCTTACCTGCATTCGACACATGGACGTTACTTTATCCTCGTTAGAGAGGATACTTTTCTGTGGAACTAGGAACGAATGCGCAATGCAAACGTTCCATGGAGCAAAAAGAAAAATGGCAAAAAGTTTCGAATAATCGTACTTTGTCGTTCTTCACTTTACACTCCGTAGCTTTCGATATGTACGAGTTATCACGATTCCCCGCGTTATTAATCACCGGATACATAATCACGTCGACATCAAAGCAAAGGGCCTCCAGGGTTCTCCATTAACCGAGGGACATAAACCCGGCAAGAGGTCAACGTGGAGGGTGGATTTTGGTGGTGGATGGACGAGACCAAGACCGTGCACGACCTAGGAGAACTAACCACTGCACGACCCTTAATGCCTCCTTAATCGACTCGTTCGAGAGGGTGTGCAGCAGGGGTTGACGGCCACGCGCATTTCCCGAATCGGACGTTCCTCCACCGGAAAGAAAATGAAGCGGAAGTTAATCCGAGGTCAAGGTTCTATATGTATATAGACTAACTCGTTTAAATCATCTTAATGCCTCCTTAAACCTTTAAACACGGAGCCATTTCGACATTTGGGCGAAATTCGTCTGACCGTGCAGGCAATATTGAACCAAACGTCGGGCGCCTTTAGGCGTTCTTAGTAACCAAAGGGTTAATCAACCCATTCGAGAGGGTGTGCGATTAAAGATTGGCAGCCACGCGCATTTCCCGAATCGGACGTTCCTCCACCGGAAAGAAAATGAAGCGGAAGTTAATCCGAGGCCAAGGTTCTATATGTACATAGGCTGACTCGTTTAAATCATCTTAATGCCTCCTTAAACCTTTGAACACGGAGCCATTTCGACATATGGGCGAAATTCGTCTGACCGTGCAGGCAATATTGACCCTAACGTCGAGCGCCTTTAGGCGCTCTTAGTAGCCAAAGGGTTAATCAACCCATTCGAGAGGGTGTGCAATTAAAGATTGGCGGTCACGCGCATCTTCCGAATTGGACGTTCCTCCACCGGAAAGAAAATGAAACGGAAGTTAATCCGAGGCCAAGGTTCTAGGTGACGTTTTCGCGGATCTAGGGGGAGTCCATCCGTGCCCGATTCGACGAGCAACCTTGCTCTTACGTTCCGACCGCAATTATTCGTATTATCTTAATTAAGAGAGACGTCGTTACTACCGGCCCTGGGGGAAAGTCCCTGGGATCCTCGAGCGAGCGAGGACTCGTTAACGAAACAATTTCGCAAGGCTCCACAATCCCTAAGGCTGGATCGCGAGGGGATTATCGTAAGAGTCGATCGAGGACGAGAGGTCCCTGTCGGAGGTGGGAGGAAGAGGGAGTTTCTATTGGCCACCGGAGGATGAACGGTTTTGTAGAGACGTCTTCTACACGAGCGCCTTCTTTAGCCCCTTGCATTTAATTCCACTTTCTATGCCCGATCGTTACTGGGTCCGACTAAACATGGACCACCGGAACGTGACGATTTCGGGAAGTGGAGAATGGACGGAAATCTCGAGGCACCTGCTAGACTGCACCTCGGACGTTGCGGATTTATCAAAACACACTAGGACTATTTTTCCAAGTGCGCTAATCGTTCGGTGCAATCGATTTGCAGTTAGGTCTGGACTAAGTTTCCTGGTACTATATTGCTTGGAGTGCAAAGGATTAATTGAGGGCGAATAGGTACGATCTCGTTGAAACTCGTGACGATAGGTACGAGATTAACCGTGTGTGTCCCTGGGGCCAATGTCGAAAAATGCCGAACAACGCAATAGCGCTGTCTTAACCCTTTGCACTCCTAAGGCCAGGTCTTGGAGTTGAGTACCTGTGTGTACCCAAATTGCTTGGAGTGCAAAGGATTAATTGAGGACGAATAAGTACGATCTTGTTGAAACTGGTGGCGATAGGTACGAGATTAACCATGTGTCCCAGGGGTCATTGAAAAAAACAATGTCTAAAATGCCGAACAACGCAATAGCGATGTCTTAACCCTTTGCACTTCTAAGTTTAGGTCTTGGAGTTGAGTACTTGCGTGTAGCCAAATTGCTTGGAGTGCAAAGGATTAATTGAGGACGAATAAGTACGATCTCGTTGAAACTGGTGGCGATAGGTACGAGATTAACCATGTGTCCCAGGGGCCATTGAAAAAAACAATGTCTAAAATGCCGAACAACGCAATAGCGATGTCTTAACCCTTTGCATTTCTAAGTTCAGGTCTTGGAGTTGAGTACCTGCGTGTAGCCAAATTGCTTGGAGTGCAAAGGATTAATTAAGGACGAATAGGTACGATCTCGTTGAAACTGGTAGCAATAGGTACGAGATTAACCGTGTGTCCCTGGGGCCATTGAAAAAAACAATGTCTAAAATGCCGAACAACGCAACAGCGCTTAACCCTTTGCACTCCTAAGGCCAGGTCTTGGAGTTGAGTACCTGCGTGTAGCCAAATTGCTTGGAGTGCAAAGGATTAATTGAGGACCAAGACAGCCATACGGCTGTTTCAATAGCTCTATGAACACCGTCAGTTGTCCATACCGGTCAATTGTCCTGGTATTTTCCGACATGAAATCTAAACAGCGCGATTGCGCTGCTCAGGACTCAAACGGTTAACGTTCATCGTAAAGGTAGGACATGCATCGATTCTAGATCGCTTCGGGATACGAATTTCGTCAGAGAAACTGCCCGGGACAGTAGAAGGCACATTTTTGTGGATTTATTCGCGAAAGTCCTAAACAGCTGGGCTACAATGGAACGAGCCGATCTCGTGGGAGGCATCGATACGTCGGGGCGCGCTCGATCGGCTGAAACCGGAGAAAACGGGAAGCTGCAGTTGCAGTTGCAGCTGCAGCTCGCGAGGTTGCTCGGCCGTGGCGCTCGTTACGCGACCAAATCGAAGCTGAAACGGCGAATAATATATACGGAATACGTGAATCGGAGACGCGATACGCTCCAGCGGTGTCGCGACGCCAGCGAATTCGCCTTTTCGTCTTTTCGCCTTTTCATCTTTTCGTTTTTTCGTCTTTTCGTCTTTTCGTCTTTTCGTCTTTTCGTCTTTTCGTCTTTTCGTCTTTTCGACTTTTCGTCTTTTCGTCTTTTCGTCTATTCGTCTTTTCGTCTTTCCGTCTTTTCGAGAAAAATTTCGTAAACTGCTGACTCCTCCACAGTCTGCAAATTGTTTATAAATCGATTTTTCCTCGTCGTATGATCATCATGAATTTCCGTCTAGGCAAGTGGACCAAGTGACCGATCAATTGAATCATTGATCGTTGCCTTTATCGTTATTGTCGCGATATCGACTCGTATGTCTCGTACGGCGTACCGATTTAACTCTTTGCACTCAGTTGTCCCCTCTGAGGGGACATTTCACATCTAGATCGGATGTCAACGAGTGCAAAGGGTTAAAACGAGCTCCCATGACCGGGCGCAAAAATTGCGAGTAAATGTAGACACTTGCGACGACAAGTGCCCTGGGCAAACGGGAGCGGTTTTCCTTTGCTCTACTGGGTTGGATCGAAACCGATCATGGGAAAATGTAACTCGAAACGTTTACCTGAGCTGCGATGCAGAAGAGGACGGCTAGAAATATTCTCACAGGTAGTTTAGCTGAGTAGCTGCGATGCGCCCAGAGTCGATGAGCCCCGGCGGTGACTCCCAGTCCAGCAGTGACTCCGTACCCGGTAGCTAAAGCAAAGAAAGAAACGTCCCAAGTCGTCATCGATGAATCCTAGAAACTATTATTAATTACAGTAGATATGTGTAGGCTCAATTAGATTTTCCCCGATGAGACCCAGTAGTGACTCCCAGTCCAGCAGTGACTCTGTACACGGTAGCTAAAGACGAGAAAGAAACGTCTTAAGTCGTCATCGATGAATCCTAGAATCTATTATTATTTAACTATTTACAAAACTAATTAACTATTACAAAAATTTGTAAAGCCGAAGAACTTTCGATGTAATGCCCTCTTATGTTGAATTTCTAGAACGCGTTTGTAAAAACCTGCAAAATTAGAATCCGCCGCTTTGGTATTCTCCGGATGCTCCGAAAAAGTATGCAAAGGCATCCGTTAAGTTTATTTCATTCAAAGCTGCCTTCGTCCGTTTTCCCGGGAATTTCCTAGGGTCACTAGAATTTCCGTGCAAGTCGCCTAAAGCAACGAATTCAGAAATCCCATAGAAGCCCAGATCCTATGTTAGCGCTTGATGCTCTAAAAGTTGGCTAACAAACCAGAAGTGGAGGTAAAAGAGAGATCGCATGTGTTAGCCAACGATATCTCAAATACGGGAGGAAGAGAGACGCATATAGAACGGCGAATATTGGGGATAAAGATAAAGAAAAAGTGCAATTCGCTATATGTGCCCATAATTATGAAAGTGGTCTAAGTCATATATTTTTTGTTTCGAAATTACATTGAATTAATTTCGTTTGAAATAATATGGCGAGAAATAACTGATAAACTCATTTTTTTTTTAATTTTGACTTAGACCACTTTCATAATTATGGGCACATACATCGCCATAAGATTAAGGGAGATGGAGAGATGATTACAGCGCCGCCATCTGTTGGCTAATATACTATTTATCCAGCATCGAACGTCCGTATCCTTTTGGGCTTCTATGGAGAATTCTGAATTCTTTGCCTAAAGGTAATAGCGAAGCACCGCGAGGTTTCCGTCGGAAATTCCGAGGAAAAGAATCGCATCGAGGAGGCCATCGTCTCCGTCCTCCCGTCCAATTAATCACGGAGAAGCTCTTTGGAGAATCCTTTTGACTTTATAAGGGCCTCGTCTCGACTTATTCGCGTCAGCCGTTCTTTGGGGCATCTCGATCGCGAGGATAGAGTCGCGGGGTGGAATCAACCCCTTCAGGAGTCTATACAAGCGTCAACGAGCCTTTTAAGACCGAAAGCCTCTTTCGTCTTCGCCCTTCCTCGCTCAGAAATTAACAATTCCGTTTGTCGTCCGAGATTCGACATAAACTAACCATTCCATGGCAAATTAAGGTGAAGTGAAGCCCCCTTCAAATCAGTTACGAATAAAACACTTCTTTTTAAAGGGTATTGGACCAAACAGTCCGAAACTTTGACTCATGTGATCACATAAGAATTGTCCTGACACATTCAAAATTTGGATTTTTGGAAAAAATTTCTTAACTTAGCCCACACCAGAATCGAAATGCCGTCGAGCTGTCATATTTCGATCAATGTACAATTATCGAAGGCTCTGATATGAGAAACGAAAGGGTCAGGACAATTGTATGACAATTTAGAACCCGCTGATAATCGAGAAACTGGCATTCGGACGGGGTGGAGGTAAAAAAAGTGTCTTATGCGTTTCTATGCTAAAACGATAGTAATATGAGGTCACAGAGTGAGAATTTAGTTGATAAGGAAATCACAGATGGCGCAGGGGGCTCCTCTGCAGTTAGGGCCTCAGAAATCATGAACCCAGGGGATTTCTAGAGTTTTACTTCGATTGTTTCATAATTATTGTATGGAAATGACATATGAAGTATGCCATTTAGTACAATACTGAATATAATTCGACACAGCTGTCAATACGAATACGAACGTCGGGAACGTAGGTACTTACAATTAGAAGAATCTTTTTAACCGACGTCGATCAAATTCCTCGACGTGTTTCACTTCACCTTAACGAAATGCATTTCGTGCCGATCGGAAGGAAATTTGTCAAGCGAAGGAAGCGTACGATTATTCCGTACTTTCCGAGGAATTCAGAAGAAAAATGTGAGTCGCATTTAGTAACGTGTACTTACACCAGACCCAGGTCCAAAATGTAGCCTCGTGGTATTTGGTCACCAGGGCATAAATCGATAGGTAATGGAGCAGACCGATTCCGAAAATCATCTGCCATACCAGGGATTGTTTCGCGGGCTCTTTTGGTACCGATGCGCTATCTCCCATGAAATCCACCGAGGAATTCTTTTTCGACGAGTCCTCGAATTCCGTCACCGTCGAGGAATACATTAGGCTGCAACACGGAGCAAAAGAATCTGTTAAACTTGAAGGACAATCTGTAAAATGTAGTAATTATCCGTTGAAATAAGGACAGAAAGATAGTACATGTATTACATATGAAGAATGTGTGCTCTGTGCATCCGCGCTCTCTGGTAATCCTACAATACATAGAGTAGGATAATTGTTGCAATCCTTGAGTGATTTCCACATTCCGTGTACATATCTCATAAACGGTAAACCTTTCAACCGGTACTTCCGATAGCGTGACATAAATCTTAAAATGCACGTACACGCACGTGTAAGCCCTCTCTATCGAAGCGATCTCGATGGTATGATCGTTCCGCGTTACTCCGTATGTACAAAGCTCCTTTTTACTTTCCGAAGCATTGAAATGGTACATTACAAGAAACCTTTCGGTAGCAGAGAGTGATTATTAGTAAACAGGTAGTAGAATGTATTTAACAAAATAGTACATGCATTACACCTGAAGAATGTGTGCTTGCGACATGATCCTCTGTGCATCCGCACTGTCCAGTAATCCTACAATACATACAGTAGGATAATTACTTCCGATAGCGTGACATAAATCTTAAAATGCATGTACAATGGCGGACATGAATGCCTCCCCTGCAGATACGACATCGCCTGTGCAGGATGGGAGGGCATTGATGTCTCCCAGTGTAGATGCGAGTGCAAGCCCTCTCTATCGAAGCGATCTCGATGGTATGATCGTTCCGCGTTACTCCGTATGAAAAAGCTCCTATTTACTTTCCGATCCGTCGAAATGGTACATTACGTAACGAGGGAGGAAAGTAGGCGATTGCGTATCATTGCGAGTTTGTCGCACAAGCAAAGCGAGTCGTAAACGCGTATTGTAGTCTCGAGATACGTATACTATTTTTTATCCTCCCTGCAAACCGGAAGTCCGGCTATTCAATGCCTGTCGAGGGTATGCATGACCATGCATATCGCGGTGAATCCGGAAGTTGGATACTTTTTCAAAATTTTTTATAAATCCGGTATAAACCATTTAGTTGTACAGGGGATTCGTTAACAAAAAGACCTCACCCACCACCCCTTCGATGCCAAGAGATCGATACGTGTAACGTTATGGACAAAATTCACGTCAGCGGCAATCAGAAATAGAACTTAAAATGATATGAATTCAGGTCAGCGGCAACCAGGAATAGAACTTGAAAAGACGTGAGTTCACGTCAGTGTTAATGTGTTAACACATTCGCGACCGGCAAATGATTTCCGTTGCAAATACCGAGTACCGGCGAAAATAATGAAATTCTGAAACTGGTTGCCGTAAACTTGTATCGTGTACCGTCGTGGACGTGATTCCACGTCAGCGGCAATCAGGAATAGAATTTAAAATGACATGAATTCACGTCAGCGGTCGCGAACATGTTAAGACCGAAAAAATGACGCGACCCAACGAAGGCGTCTTCGGGTAGTCGGGCCAACAGGGATTTCGAACCCCGCCTATTTCCCCTGGACGTCGATCGATTTCCGGAAGCGGACGTTATCGCGGGTCACCGTACATTAGCGCGGACAGCTTCCGGGTTCCCGACAGGCCTGGTAAAAAATCGTCGAAAGCCGCGGGAGGGCTCGGAGAAGCGTCGAATCGAAAATCGCTCGAAAGCTTTAAGCCCGACCGGATGCGCGCTTAATCCACAATACGCGAAAACGAGCGTCGGGGTGCATGATTTATGAGGCCGAGGGATTTGGCGCGTCGACGCGAGCGAGTTCCCCTGCGACCTGAAATTTCCCGCCCGGATCGAATTAAGCTGACTCTTTTACATCTCTTTTATATCTCGAAGCTACCCCGGAAACGCCCTCGCGGGATGGACGCGCGGGAAACTCGAAATCGAGGGAAAACCTGCGGACGCGATTCTTTCGGAGGTTTACCCTCGGCCGACGTGCTCGACCCTCCGAAATCCGCACAGGGTGTTCCTCTAACGAGTGGGGGCTCTCTTTATATTTAGAAACTTTATTAATAAGCCGCGCGCGTGACCGCGATATGCGCGCAAAAAGCTCATCCGGGGGGCGAGAATCTATGCCGGTCACGTAGAACTCTGCGATACCGAGGCTCGTCTCGCTGTTTAAGAGCCAATCGCTCCGACGCGATGCGGAATTCCGCCCTCGTTCCGATGCATCCGAGCATCCGATTGGCTCATTTTATACTCCGACGGAATTTCCGCTTTTAAAACGCTCCCTGGCAGGGCGCGAGATCTATCGTAAAAGGGTCCCAGAGAAAGCGAAAGGTATGGATCGAGATATGGGGTGCACTTTCTCCTGTCCTTTTTTTACTCGACATACTAAATGGTCTTGACCCTTCGTCTACTCAACTTTTAAAATGTGAATAATGAACTGAAAAACAATTTTATATTGACTGTGTCATTGAGAAATCTCGCGCTCTATTCGATAGTTAAGGTGAAGTGAAACCCCCTTCAAATAAGTAAATTCGAATGCAACACTTTTTTTTTTAAGGGTATTGGGCCAAACTGTCCGAAACTTTGACACGTGACTCGTGATCATCTAAGAATTGACCTGACATATTCAAAATTTGGAATTTTTGAAAGAATTTCTTAACTTTGTCCAGACCAGAACCAAAATGGCGTCGAGATCTGATATTTCGATCAATGTACAATTATCGAAGGCTCTGATATGGGAAACGAAAGGGTCAGGACAATTTTACGTTTGTTTAAGTTCTGTTTACAAATTTAGTTTCCAAGTTTCTTTAATTTGATTGGATTTAGTTCTTAATTTATTTTTTATTTAGCCGAATGAAGTGGAAAACAAGATTTGCACAAAAACGATAGTTTCATCGTGTTTGGTAAAAGTAGTTGGTTTTTGTACTATTTATGGAGCAAAGGCGATATAAGCTGCTTTTGTAATTAATTGAGCAATTATACGTATTTTGCTAATTTCTTTACGCTCGAATTTTGAGTACCGCAAAAAAGAGAGAGAATATAGTCCCCCCTTCCACCGGTCTATATTTCTATTATCGATAGTACGGTCGACAAAGATTGACGTTAATCAATTCGGTTCGTAATCGGTGTCATTATGAAGGTTAATTTATTTCGCGATATAATTGAACGGACAGAATACACGTTTCATCGACAAGCGTCAACACTGGAGTGGTAAATCGAGTTGATGATTACGGAAGGAGGCGAGTAAGCAAACCGGAAGTCGTCCTTGGCAGTGAATCGAGAGATCGACGACCCGGTAGAAAACGAGAGCGAGGATTAAGTCATTTCTTCAGGTGGGAAACGAGGTCGACCGATTACCTTCGAAAGAGAAACGTGGTTAAGGTGAAGTGAATCCCCTTCCTCAAATCAGTCGACTCGAATTCCCTAGTAGCATAGAATCATTTCTAAATATTTCTTTGTAATCTTTGCTAAATATCTCAAGCGACAGATTTTTTAAGATTTCTTGTAGATTTAATTCGAAGACATCTGAAATATTCGTTGAAAAACTCAATGACATGTTTAGTTTTAATGGTTCACGAACACGTGCAGAAATTATATTTTTTAATTTATGAATATATAATAAAAATATATATTTTACTTAACGATTATTATCGGACACTTCATTTGGTATCAAAAAACACGAGAAATTTGTGTAACATTTTCCTTCCGCTATTTAATTACGGAAACAAAATGTATGATTTTGATTTTAAGCATTTTTAAAACGTTTATATCGTATTCGACCGATAATATTAAAAGAAAGATTATATTAAAATAAAACGAAACGTTTTGTCTATCCACATGAAAAATATTACGAAAACACGTGGAGCTAATATTATACAAATAATATTCTAAAGTAAACGTTTTGCAAATATTTCAAATGTCTGGTAAATATTTACAAAATGTACGATATTCGTTAAATATGTAGAAAATATAAGACAAATATTCTGTGCTACTAGGTTTTTTTTTAAGAGTATTGGACCGGACGATGATCAATTTCCTCTTCGTGTTTCACTTCACCTTAACACATTCGCGACAAATGATTTCCGTTTCAAATACTGAGTACTGGCGAAAATAATGAAATTCCGAAATTGATTGCCGCAAACTTGTATTGTGTGTCGTCATGGACGTGATTCACGCAGTGGCAATCAGGAATAGAATTTAAAATGACGTGAATTCACGTCATCGGCAACTAGGAATAGATCTTGAAAAGACGTGAATTCACGTCAACGGTCGCGAATGTGTTAACACCGTTCGATAACAATGTAAGTAATGGCTAACCGATCTTACACATTCGGCCCGTTCGATGCTGAATGTGTAAGATCGATTAACCATTATCAGATCACTAAGGGAGGTTCTTTTACATTTTTTCCTTTTCCCGATCCTTCGAGTTGTCTCGTCCGGACTCCTTCCGCGTGGAAACGCGATGCGGAATCCGTCGATACCGGGGAACTCTTCTTACTCCCGCAGAAAGTTTAATTACTTCCGCGGAATATCTTCCGGTAAAATTTTCTCCTTGGGTTTTTCCTTAATGTAAACTCCTCGTAATTTCTCGACGCCTACCTTTTTACCCGGGAGTTTCGGTACTCTAGAATTTGCTCCCTAGTAGTTAGGGCGATGGAATGTTTAAATTTTTATGGTGTACCGCATAATTGGTGAAAGAGGTGCCGCCTCGAGCCTCCTTAAGACGCTCAGGTGTTATCGAATCGATGCTACGCCATAATGTCTATGCAATTATCGCACCGACGGTGCATTATCTTCGGCATTTGCATTTTGACGACTAGCCGTGTGGGATTTAACACCTCCAACTTTTTGCACTCGGTACCGTTTGAAGTGAACCGACATACATGTACAATTTTCTACGGAGATATGTTTCAACTTACCGACCGCATAATACCAGGGTAGGTAACATACCATTATTCCAATTATCATACATTATTATAATGACCTCGGTCAGTTGTAACTATTTTTATGGATTTATGTTTATAATGGATTGGAACGGGTTTTCACGATTGAATTCGGTAAATATATATT